CCATTAGATGAGTGAAGATCAGTTCATAAGATTTCCTAAGACCTACAAAAGCACTTAAACAAAGTTGTTTACCTTTTGAATCCTGTGACAACTCTTTGAAAAAGATCTCAGTGCTGAAAAAAGAAGTTCGTCAATGAAATTCACAACATTATAGCTAAAACGTAACATTCTTTAATATTGATAATGAAAGAGTTTTAATTAAAAAAAATCATGAACAAAGTAAAAATTTAAATTTTGTGAAGTTTTCAAATATGACAACACCCATTGTTTTTGATCGAAATATAATCCCTATTGTAGGAAACCTAAAATAAAGTTAGAACGATATTTGTAACACAAGAAACTGTCACGCTAGACATTTGCCGTGCGTCGCAACTTCTTTTTTCTTTTCTTTTTCTTTTTTTGACCATATTTGAAAAGAAAGGTTGAATCAAAAATCCTTGAAAACAGTGAAAAAATTAGGAAGAAAGAATTTAATGTTTTAAAACTTTTTGACCTGTTCGTCGTCACAAGTCCATAGTTTCATCTCTGATTTTAAAGATTCTTTAAAAATTTCTTCTTGAGGTCACGAGAAAGGGCAACACTTTGCAATAATTTAACGTCAGAATTCTTTGAGCTAAAAGTATTATTCTTATTTAGGGTTTTTTACTGTAAGAATTACATTTTAATAAGAATAAAAAGGTGTTGCCTTTTTAAAATGTCAAATTTTTTTCCCACCACAGTAGCTGTAATCGCAGAAGGTAATTATGTGCAGTTAGACTGATTGACAGTAGCTAATTCACTAACACAGTAAATAATTCTCTGACAGTAACTAATTAATTAATTAACTTTGACTAATTCAATCTGACTAATTTTTATACTAATTGATATTAATGCGTTTTAACAAGAATAAAGAAGATAACAAGAATACAATAAGAATTTTTAACAAGAATATTTCAATAAAAGTCTCAAATTTTCGGACCATGTGTTTCTCATCAGATATAATGGAAAACTAAATAGTTTCATTTTAATATTTTGGTACTCATAGCAGTATTTTGAGAGTTACTAGTCCGATTAACAATGTTAAATAACGCGTCTTAGTTTGACAAAGAGATAGAAGTCTCAAATTTCACGTGTTCCTTACTGATGAAGACCCCCAAAAAGTTTAATTTTATAGTTTGTAATTATTAGGGTAAATGAGGAGTAATTAGCATGATTGACAGTAAAGCTAATTAACACAGTTTTACCAAGATAGAAGTCTCAAATTTAGACCTAGTATTGTACTTATGTAGAAGAATTCTATCAATGTTCTTATTGGCTTTTAAAAAAGTATATTAGCTATTTAATTGTACATGGTGAAAAAATGAAAACATTAGCTAAATGAGAAACATATTAGCAAAATAAATTATCAAATATTGCAGTTACTCACCTAAATTCAACTAAATGTGTATAATAAANTTAAAATAACTCAGATAAATCTATGCAGTTTATGTTATTAATGGTTTCAAGAAGCCAGGAAAATGACAACATTCCTTGTGAGATAATAACCCTCAAAAAGTCTTTCATTTTCAAGAACACAAAAAAAGCGTGAAAATTCAATGCATAAATAAACACGAAATATAAAAAAATTCAATGCAAACACTTAGACATTTTTTAGACGTTTAGGTAGCTCCCAGTAGAAAAATATAAATTCAACAGCTGCCTTTTAAAGCATTTTCACTTCAATTAATTAATTAATTCTTAATTGAGTTTAAATTAAATATTATCAGGTTTTCAGGGCATGAATCTGAATTGAGCAACCTGATAATGCTCACTCTGGTTATTGTTTCTGTTTTTAAAAGCGCTATATGTTGAGCCAGTTTAAATTAAATATTATTATTTCCTTGGGGCATGAATCTGAATTGAACAACATGATAATGCTCACTCTGGTTATTGTTTCCGTTTTTAAAACCGCTATATGTTGAGCCACCTCTGCTAGATTCGCCATGTGACATTTTTAGCAGCAATCATTGGTCGATTTTCTGACGTTGCCATTCGGGGAGTTGTAATGAGGCTTTTTTTTTGGTGCCGTGTAAGAGAAATATATATATAGATATTTCAGATTGCGGCTTATTTGTTAAAAAAAATATGTTTTAACTTAACTATTTTTCATTATTTTAATTACTTATTCATTAACTATTTTTTATTAACTATTTATGTAAAACTATTTATTTTTCAAATTAATGGAAGTATTTCAGAACCCAAAATCCTTTGACGATACAGCTGCTGTATCCATCTAAGAAGTTTACAGAACAATTTGTAGCGGCATGAAAATGTATCAAAAGTTTCGCAAATATAGATCATCATTGGTTATGCTTATAAAAATAAGATATTTTAAAAATTTTAAGTCCTAATTTTTTTTTTTATTCAGATTGATTATAACTTAGCTTATTTTGTCGTGATTAGATTATTTACGGCTATTTGAACCATTGAGACAAACCATATGTTTCATACCTTAAATCTCGATCAAGTAGCTGCTGCTACCATCTATAGGAGAACATAGTAAATAAAATAAAAAAACTTTCAAACATATATATGTACAAAATGTAAATCAATTAAGTCCAAAGTTCTCTTTCCTTAATGAAAAAAATGTAAACACTTGACTATTTTCTCAAAATGAACTCAACAGTAAAATCTTTTAATGAACAATTAAAATAAAAAGCACAAAATAATTTATTAAACTGATCAGTTACTCGAGTAAGAAAGAGTTGGTTACCTTACGACTATGAGACATAACATGCATTATTTTTAACGATTCTTCGATAAATAAATAACAACAATAATCATCATGATTATAAACAAAAAAATTTCTCAGAAATAATTCCTATTAAATTTCATCATATAATTGAGCGAATGTTATTTATCCAAAAGCGAAAAACTATTTAATGATAAGTTTCGCTGAACATTGAAGAAGATGTCAATAGCAATATGCAAATGAATGCTTATTCAGGTTGATTAGGGGAAGGAAAAGAAAAACACAGCTAACATTTTCCCTTAAAGTATATCAAAATAAAAATAAAGCCTGCCAAATAAAACGTGCGAACCTCTAGCAAAATGATACAGTATACATTTAATTCTTAATGTATAAAAATAAATGGAACTTAGGCTAAGATATTATAAATATAAATGAGAGAATTCTCTATAACAGATAATAAGATATATATATCATAATTTTTTTGTTTAAAATACTTTTCTAGTAAAAAAAAACCTAATTTCTTTTTTTCTGTGAAATTTAGCATACCAACGGTGCAAAAAAATTTTTTTATCAGGTTTTACATCCAAGAAAATATTTATTCAAATACAAAAACAATTGTATATGTTGCTCTTTTTTTATTTCGTTTTATTTTTTTATTTTATTTTTATTTATTTATTTATTTTTTTTTGTATTTTGTGAATTTAATTTAGCACGTGCGTATCAGAAATTTTTTTAAAGAAATTCCCCGATTTAACTTTTTGAAACCCCTCATTTTGGACGAAATTGTTTACATCTGTAAATTTTAAATTTAAAATGTAAATATATATTCTCTGGTGGTTGCAGCAGAAAAACCTCAATTCTCGCATTGAGCATTTTGAGTGCTACTATGTAAGTTGTAATACCAACCTTTTTGAAGTTTTGCATCTTAACAATTAGATATCTGTTGCACATTAATTGTTTAATACATAGGTGCACATTAAAGTTATTGTAGGCGGAATTTCTTAATATGCAATTAAATAATTTTAAAAATCTACTTCTTATTTTAATTTGTAATTCAATACTTTTGTTTTGTACAACTTGATAAAAATAAGACAGTAATATTTAATGTTACTTCAAGCATAAAAGAGTCCTGTATAAAATTTTGATAAAGTTGGGGCCCGCCATTTGACTGGTGTTTTGAATTGTGGCCCCCGACCTCGTGTAAGTTGGAAACCCCTGGTCTAAGTAATCCGTAAGTGGAATTACAAGAATTACAAGAATTCCCCCTAACACACTTGAAAATATGTTTATAATACTGGGGCAAAAATGTTCGTTTTTTACTCTTTAGTCTTATCAACAGAACAATTTTGTTTTAAATTGTACCTGTTTCAAATTAGAAGAGCTAGCTTAATGTTTTCGTTCATGCAAATGAAAGTTTCCATCGATGTTTATTAGATCTTAGATGTTAATACCGAAGCAAACATGATGATAGCATAATAATAAGAAATTTTACAGTAATTGGCTGCTTCATATTTACAGTATGATTATAAATTTTTAACTTTTAATTGTTTTTAAGCATTTTGTAATAATTCGTACCAAAATTCTTTTGTTAATATAACGCATTAAATCTCACTTAAAAATATTTATCGCTTGATTAATGAGAACGGGGAGTGTTTCTAAAAATAGAAGTTTCCGTATAAGCTGAATACGGTGAACATTTTGCAACCTCTAATTGCAATCCTAGAAAGTATTAAATAAAAAATAATCATATTTATTGTGTAATGATTTCGGTATTTATTCGACGAATGGACCAAAACTAATTTCTGATAGAGAAACGTATCTTCATTTTTTACTCATGGACTACAAATCCAAAAAGAGGTTTTTATTTAATATAGACAAAACGGAACATAATGAAATCACAATAGTCAACAAAACTTTTATGAATTGGAATGAATGAGTACCTGAGAAGAATATAAGGTGTTCTGTAACTACCGCACTTAACATACAGTTTTAGAGTTCTCAAAAAAATTTTAATGGAAAAATACACACATCTTAGGTTCTAAATTTATATTTAAGTCAGGTAGAAATAAAGAGACTATTGAAATCACTGGTGAGAAAAGCGGGATAAGAAACATAAAAACCAGTTTGACTGCCCTATGAAACTTAGAGACGTTTTTAATAATCGATTTTCATATGCTCTCTGCTTCCACTTGCAAATCCTCATTATTGTTGCTCTCTTCAATCCCAACTTCCTCTATAGTGATTCTTTAGATTTCAAGGACATATATAGTTTTACTTATTAACTGTTGAGAGCAGTCATTGTGGAACACCCTACTGTGTTTTGAACGGTATGGTGATAGTCTGTATGCTATCTGCATATAGTTTAATTTTTACTGACAGTTTCTAGGTTTTTTTTTCTCTTTAAAGTAACTATTTGGCTTCGAAGATCTTCTACTGGTATCAGACATGCAATGTTTGCTGCAGCTTTCCTGTTCCAAAATCGTGTTACTGGGCTGAGGCACCTGGAATCTGCAGCAATCACGTTTCTGTTCCAACCTGGAAAGAAATAAGTCATCCACTTTAGTTTAGAGTCCCTATTGTATATGACGCAGTTAAGAGAGTTACGACATAAGGGTATTTTGAGCTCCAAAGCTTACTGGTAAGAAACGGAGCAATGCTAAATATAATTTCGCAGACTAAACATGCGGCTATCGACTTTATAGTTTAAGTTGATTATTGATCACCGAGTAAAAAATTAGTACTCATAAAAGGCATCATTTAATACAATGTAATACCGTCGCTTAGGGTTGTGAGTACGACTCGCTTACTGAGGTGAACGCTAACACGCATATTAACACAAACGTGAACACTTCCTCATAAGTATTTGGTGATGTAATTTCGAATAAATCTTCAGAAATAGAGCAACATCTCCTTTTCAGCTTTTTTAGATAATAAAATATGAGAGTCTGAACAAGAATGGTGCTAGACTAAGCCGACAGGGGATCAGCAATCTCCCGACAGGGGGGCTAAGAAAATTTTGAAAATAAGCAATACTTTTTAATATACGAATAATAATTAATATGATATACACATTTTTGTTCTGATAAAGAATTTTAATATTAACAAAGAAAAAATATAAGGATGATATCTGAATAAATAAAAAAATATATGCACATCCAGCATAAGATTTTACAGTGTTCTCAATTAAATATTATTCAACTCAAACAATAAGAAATTTATGCATAACTAGAAAAAATTCCAAAGAGATCCGAAGAGTTTGAGTAATAGTTTGTTTGAGACCAGTTTGAGTAATAATTTTGTTACAGATATATATATATATATATATTAAAATTAATATGATTAACTAATAACTAGGTAATTCAATTTTATTTTAAATTAAACATTATATTTTTTTAAAACTCGAGTATTTTAGAAACTAAATAACGTGTGATCTATATTAAAACAGAACTATTATTTGATTTACTTAAACATAATAGTTTTCTCCTTTACGCTTTAGTTCCACTTGTTAAGATACTCAAGAATATCGTTAAATAATAGGGGAGAGTTACATCACAAAAGATATTTTCACGCTACGTAAGTAATTTTTTTTGGTATTAGAATATTATATTGCAACAAAGTAATTTTGTTTAAACAAATAAAAATTATTAACCGAATATGTAAGTGGACACTTTAATTAGCATTTCAATAAAAAAAAATTAGTTTTGTTAATTAACTAGCATTGTTTTTAACAAATGAAGCTGAAATGGCGTCTTGGGGACGATTGTAACAATAAGTAAAGGGACGATTGTAACAGCTGAAAATAAATAATCTTATGTTTACAAACCATTACTTAACTCTTTAAGAACCACCAATAGTTTCCTATATTATTTATATTATGTTGCATGTGAGATTTTTTATTTGTCACCTTTCACAGCATAAATTAAAATATTTAACCTCTTAAAGTTAAAAGTTTAACCCTTTAGGTCTCTGCTCATTATTATTTTTACTCCTGAAATATCACTACTTTGATCAATAAAAAAATATATCTCAACTATGATAATATGTATAATTAACTATGTTTTAGTTGAATTTATGAACTGTTACAATTGACCTCGTAAGTGGGGATAATTGTAACAAGTTCACGACTGCCGAAAATTGTTAATAACTAATATAATAACATTTAAAATAGGATTTTTTTTTCTAGTAGAGGATAGTCTACTTTATTCGTCTGTCAATTAATACTAATAATATATTGGATTTTTTGTTAGTTAAAAATAAGTTTTTGTTAGTTAGTTAAGTAAAATTTTACAATTGACCCCACTCTCCCCTACTATTTCGATAAATAATTTGAAAAATGAAATTTTAAAAAAAATTTATATTGGCAAATTATTTAAGAGTGAAGAAGAAGATCGCCAATACCCGCATTTGTGACCTATGACGACAACGCCAGCTGATCGTTTATCAAAAAAATTACTTGCTTAAGTTGAGCGAACTTTCACCACATTCGTTAGAATATTGATTAAAGTGAAATTAAATAAATACAGTTTTACGACAATAGCACAAGCGGTTCGGAGTTACAAATCACACACACAAAACTATTTCTTGTATTAATATTGGTAAAAATTAATGAAAAAATTCTAAGAGCATGAAACATTATTCATATTACCTGTTATAAATACCATCAACATTATCATTGACCCAGTGAGTACTGTACCAAAGGTATGTAGCCATAAATACGAAATCTTGTAAACAACAAACGGTTCCCTGTAATTAAAACAAACAGTAACTCTATTTTTTGTACCATTTACACGGATCATTGAAAAAATGTTCCGAAATACTTTTTTTTTACAATGCACAGTGGGCCAGCATCCAAGGTTTCGTGGCCATAATTAGTATTTCGATAAAATTTGTTTAAAAATTTTGGGTTTTTTATGTACAGGTAAATTGAATTCATAGTTAAAATTTTGAAATACACTAAAAATTCCAAAAAAAAAGACAATATGGCGATCAAAATAAAAAAAATAATAATATAGTATGTTTAAATAATTAAATATAGCAATGAAAATATAATAATTTTCGTAATTTTATCATAAAATTGAAAAGCAAATTATATTTCCGAAGTAATATTACAAATTAACACGAAAACATGAAGAAAAAAAACATAATTTTTGTTTTTCGGTATATTTAGTTCACCTTTGCAATATGTTCAAAATGGGGCAGGTTTTTTCGAAAGAAGAAACATCAAAGAAGTTTAGCTAATTACCTCGTGGAACTTTTTGGAGATAAGTTTCGAAAGTGATTCAAACATTATAAAATGTCAAATAATAAGATATAAACTATAAGTGTGTCAAGAGTATTAACTAATCTAACAAATTGAAAAAATTGCACTATAATTTCAAACTAATTACTCTGATAAAGATGCAACAGTAAGGTGAAATTCCTATATATATTTCTGAAATATAAATTTAAAAGTTACATTTTAAAAAAAAAAATTAACATATTTTTCCCTACATTGTATACCCTTGTCGGTCCAAAAAGTAAATTAGAATGTTTGGAATGATTATAAATACTTAATTTGGGCGATATTAAAACTGCCTACACATATTTAGTTGAAAATTTAATTTTGATTTTTGGCCAAAGATCATGGTCTTCTGGCCAACTGTGCAATGACGGAAAATAATATTTTAATGATATCTATGTAGTTCTTACTTTTTCTCACTCGGAAGGAAACATGTTCCATTGAGGTTGGCAGTGTTATTGAAGGAGGAACATTCGGTGAAGTTTTTCCAATTCATAGTGATGTCATCGCTTACGGAACAATTACTTCTACCCAGCTCAAGAGGAGATTCGATGTAACCACTAATTAAAGTTCCCATTGCAATCCAGATTATGATGGGATAAGTAAACAGCATACCAAGTAGAACGCACTAAAAGAGCTTTGTAGAATCAGACACTTTTTTTTAAATGTAAAACAATCAAAATAAAACTTTCAAAAAAGAAAAAGAGGAGAAAGGAAATGCTCTAAGGCATAGATTCTCAACCTTTTTAACGTTGCTGCCCCCTTAAGGAGCAAAAAGCATNATTGTTGGTGGCAGCAAAATACAAAGCATAAAAGAAAATCAACTATTTCTCAAAATTAATAAATAATTTATAATAAAAACTAATTCGCGCACGTACCTGGCCAAGTAAACTATGAGATCTAATCGAAACTAGAGAGAAAGCCGTAAGGAAGCTAACGAAAACCATCATAAAAAACACGGCTCAAATCAAAAATTCATACTGAAAGCGCATGCACTTCAATTTCCACCAAATGACTTGAATGAGTCAGAGGCAAAAACTACAGACTCATGAGGTTAACTGTGTTGGCTCGGATCGGAGAATAGGAGTTGTATAAGTTCGTTTTATTGCTGGTACAGATGGTGTATCGGATAATCTTTATTTATTATATTAATTTAATCTTTTTTCTTTAATATTATTTTTAGATTNCATTCGGTGAAGTTTTTCCAATTCATAGTGATGTCATCGCTTACGGAACAATTACTTCTACCCAGCTCAAGGGGAGATTCGATATAACCACTAATTAAAGTTCCCATTGCAATCCAGATAATGATGGGATAAGTAAACAGCATACCAAGTAGAACACACTAAAAGAGCTTTGTAAAATCAGACACTTTTTTTTAAATGTAAAACAATCAAAATAAGACTTTCAAAAAAGAAAAAGAGGAGAAAGGAAATGCTCTAAGGCAATAACCAGCGTCATAATAAATATTTTTCCTTTACTACAAAATTTTCTGACTTCGTAATACGTATAACTAGCTTTTAAAACTACAAGACCTTTGTCCATTATCGATATTGGGCATAAATATTTGTGACAAATTCGAGCTCAGCACATTCAAGAACATGAGACTTCCCTTTATAATTTCGCAAAAGGTAAAGAATCCAACTGCATAAAAAAGGTATATTTGTGTAAAAATGGGCTTGTATGAGCTTGATATCCTAACTTAAATATCGTCTGCTTTAGTTAATTTGCAGAATTAAGGTAAAGTTCTCGAACTACATAGTAAGCGAAATTCATAGTAAGTGTTGTTGTTGTACCTTATCCTCCAATTGTCTGACGGAGTTAGACAAGATCCAATAGGTTGTTGTCCCTCAAAAAGTCGATGACAAGAAGTGGAGTGGCGTTAAGTCCTCCTTGGAAAGGCCCAAGCAGTCAAGGATATGTTCGGCAGAGGCCTGCTGTGTTTCACACTTGGAGCAGACTGCATAAGTCTTTCTACCGCGATCCGCTTGCTCATTGCCAAAGATGTCAACGTGAGATGGTATCCACTGAAGATGAACGGTGTGGTACTTTGAAATAAGTTGAAGTTTAAGAAGAATGGAGATGCTTGTTTTGTCTCCAACTTTAGTCCAATTGTGTAGGTGTTGAAGGGAGCTGCGACTGTCCGACAGGATCCAAAGTAAGTGTAAATATGATCATTATACCATGAGTTGTTAAGTGTGTTCACTTTTTTTCCCTTTACTGCACAGACATTCGCAAGTACAACTTTCACATTTTACCTGTGCCGAATTGGCATGTTTGTTATTTTAATAATATCAAGATATATCAATGGAAATAGGTTTCACCAAAAGAGATAGGAGAAAATCGTTGATTAATGTAATTGTTGTCTATCAGAATTTGATTCCGAGCAATAGCAATATGCCAAGTGATACTGCATATAAAATTGTCTTTATTTTGAAGGGGTGAACATTTAAAATCATATTTTGCTTAATGTGATAGTATAAAGTTAAAGAGAAGGGCGAAAAGTAATAAAATAATAAAAAACTGGAACTGTTTTAGCTTAATTAATTGCGTAAATAGTTTATAAATCAGAATTTATCAACATCCTGCTTTGATAAATTCTGATTTATAGACCATTTACTTTTTTTCACCCCGTGTGAAGAACGGATATTCAGCTAGGATTAAATAAATAAAAATAAAAGAAATCAAGAATGATATCAATTTTGTGAACAATTATGCTTTCTTTTTTTCATAATTTTTTAACGTTATAAATTAAAAATGCGATATTGTTTTCAGGAAAAAAGTTTTTTTCATTTGTTCTGTATTTCTCTATTAAAGAAATCAGAGTCGAATAGTTAAAAGAATTAGGGATATAAAATTCAACACTTATGTTGTTCGTTAAATCTTAATTTAAGTCTATACAAATTAATTGAGTCCAGACATAAATAAAGTGAATGAATCTTACCTTATCGTCTGCTTTTCGCGTCAAAATACCAATTAAGAATATAACAATAGCAGATCCTTCTAAAGCAAAAAGGGTTATACCAAACTGCTTGAGGCTTTGAACATATGAGAAAGCAAATGCCAATCCAATACCAATTAATCCATACAGTACACCTTCAAGTAAAAATAGGAAAAAGAAAAAAATTAATTATTTTATCTTTGGAAGGGCATTATTGTTATATTGGCTCGCAAGCACAATACTTTAAAAAAAATAAACTACATGAGAAAAAGATTGATCTTATTATTCTGTGTTTTATGTCAATGGAAACTGCATTTCTATATCATGAAATTATCCTAACGCGTAAAAAATGTTAGCAAATTTTGAAACGTTATGATCAAAACTTTCGGAAATGACGATCAAACTAAATTGGTACAAACTCTGATAAGCGGTAAAAATTTGGTTTCTTTCAGAATAAAAGTGTTTATGCAAAATTTTGCTATAACTATCTTTTTAGGTAAATCTGTTTATATTAAGGATAGTAATGTAGTAATCCCAAACTTTTCTTCGGCAAGCAATTCAGGAGCAATTTAAATTAATCATTGATTGTGCAACTTATAAAAAAAATTCAAATTTAGCTTCAACTGAATTTTATTGAATTTTCAGACCTGAATCAGTGGAAATTGAAAAACTACATTATTGCGTTAATTACATTATTTTTTAATGCCGGCTTGGTGATTACTTCATTCACTACAAAACTGAGAAAAAAAAGTGTCCTGTAGCCCCTCAAGTGGGATATGTACTGGTGGAAATTATACAATCGTGATAAATTTCGGCTGTCATGAGTTGACTGCGAACAATAGCAACATGCCAAAAATGATGATAAATACAATTAATCTCTATTCTGACGAGATGAAACACAAAACAATTTGTTTTGCTTAATTTAGTAACATAAGGTCATCGAGAAAAGCAAAAATTAATAATCAATAAATAAAAATTTTAATTATTTCAAATTTATTATTTCCATTCGCTTATGCCTTCAGTTTTGCACATGATTTCATAGCATGATTTGATTATTTTCTTCCTTATTTTATTCACACGTAGAAAAAACAAGCATTCAGTTAGATGAAGTTGTGAAAAAAGGTCGTCTGTGCAAAAGAAAGGTCTTATTTTCTTAAATATTATTTAAACTTTATTGTTGCTCTATGTAAAAAAAAATTTTCAAAAATTTTAGAATTTCTTGAATTTGTGATTCAAATATTGAAAATCGCTTTTTCTCGTTAATAACAAAGTCTTGAAAAGGACGGAACTATATGCTGCAGTCATTTTTTGCTATGTTTTCCTGATATGTATGGCATTTTGCAGAACTTCATTTTCCTAAAACAGGTGTAATTAAATAAAAAAAATTTAAAAGAAATTTCGTTTGTTTATAAAATAGCTTTAAAGTTACGAAATTATCTAGCTTGTGCTTAGTTCCCCTTATTTGAGTTATTAAAAATTTGCTGCAAAACTACTGACAAAATTAACAGACTTTTGCACTTACTAAAAGTTTTCGCGAGTAGTACATTTTTTTTCTCGGAAATAGTTGCAAAACATGGTTGTACATAATCCACCATCGTGACAGTAGATAAGCAATTCAGAATAGAGGAAATAGTACTGAGAGAGCCACTAAATATCCCCGCTATGCAAAGTCCAGTCAAGCCAGGATAGGCAATAAATTTTCTGATAATGTAATAAGGCATCATCTAAAAGTAAATGGAAAAAAAATAACAATAAATTACTTATGTAGCTTTATACCTAATTTTAACACTATTGTAACAAATTCGACAATATCCTAATAATGAAATAAATAAAATTTTAATAACTACTCTTTTTCAATAGTACATAGGAGATAATGATGGGTAATAATGTAACAGGCAAACTACTGTTTTAGTTAGTTAATTATCTCTTAGATTGGCCACTCAGAAAAGTTTTTCAGTTGTGTTTTGCTCTTGATGCGTTTTGGAATGTTAAGACCAGTTTTCAGCAATGCTATGTGCATTGCCAAAAACGATCTTCTTCAAGGACAATTCTTCTTCTTCTATAAAAGTTAATGGAATTGAAAACTTTTAATTTAAATTGATTAATTAAATTTTAAATTGATTCCATTTACTTTTACTCGTTCTCCACTTCTTATTATATCAATCCTTTTTTATAATTGTATATTTCAAAACAGTTTTACAGTTGGGCCATTTAATAGTTAAGTAACGAAACAGGGAGGAAGATCGCTTGCTACATTAATACCAAATAATTATATTATCTGTAACTACTAAACTAAACTCAATGGCGCGACAGCCCATAGAGGGCCAAGGACTACTGAGCCCATCTCAGTTTTCTTGACCTTGGGCTCTGGGATACAGGAGCAGATGTTCCGGTTAGGTGGTCAGCCGAACGCGAAGCCCCCAGTGTTTAGTTCCCAAGCATGCTTGGTACTCATTTATCAACCCACTGAAGGGATGAAAGGCTGAGTCTACCTTGCCCGGTCCGAAGATCGAACCTAGAACCTGTGACACTGGATCAGACCTAAATGTTCACCACTTTCGAAAGACGTGGCGGAAGTAATTTGATGATAATAGAATTATGATATGTTTTTCATTCCTTATCTGACAAAAGGTAAATCTAATTCACCCTTTTCAGTCCACTTAAAAAACATAGACTTAGCATTTATTTTATAATATTTTTCCCTTTTAATTTTGTACCTGTTTGTGTAAGTCAGAAAGTGGTCCAAATTGCGTTTGGCAATATGAATTCAATTTGTATCGGTTAAGAAATAAGGGGAGATTGCAACTCGCATTCTTTCATTTTTTCCCAACGAAACATTATAACTTATTCGAAAATTCTCAATGTTTGAAATGGTGATATGTTTCTTTTACCAATAAAATGGAAATAAAATCTGCACTCAGTGGACAAAACTTGAATTAAAATTAGATTGTAATTCCACATAGAGCTTACCTTAAGTACCTTAGCTAATCAGACAGAAATCGGAATTTCTATTGACAATCGGAATTTCTATCATTTTAGCAATAAATTTGCAATATTACAATAAATTTGGCTTAGCCCTGGTGGTAAAGGAGATAGAGCTCTGGCCTCCCAATGAGATTGCCCGGGTTAGAATCCTAGTGATGGATGGTCGATACGAATTCTGCATCCGGCTTGCACCATCCACAGTGCTGATGTAAAATATTCTCAGTGGTAGACGGTTCATGGATAAGAGTCCCCTTGCCATGAGGGTAACCATGGGAGGTTTTCGCGGTTTTTCTCTATATGTAACGTAAATGCGGGATAGTTGGATCAAAAAAGTTCTCGCCAAAGGCAAATTTCCCCTGATACTTGATCCAGGAGTTCCCTTGTCGTCTGGATTTGGGTTCAAAAACTTCTTCCTTGATGGCTTCCGTAGATGACTGAATAATCATTAGTAAAATTAAAAAGTAAATGTGGTTTTAATTTTATCAAATCAATGTTCACTTGCTTCTATTTCACATAATCAGCTTAAGCTTGTAGCGTATCTACCACTACAAAATTACAACTACAATTCACTAGTATATAAGACATGTTAACTCGACTCTATGTCGGGGTACCTTTTCATAGATGACGGTTGACATAGTCGATAACAACTCATTCCCCACATTGGTGACCCGGACGTGATGCGAACATTCCCCACAAGCTATTTTTAGAAATTCACAAAGGTTGCAATTAAAACAAAATCGAAATGCAAAGTGCAACCTAATTTTTTCACTTTTTTATTACAGTAAAAAAAACTGAGATATTATTGTATTTTTGGTTATGTTATAGTCTAAGGGTCGGGCACAGAAATATTAATAACGAGTTTCCATTGTAATGCTTTAGTAGTAGGTAAAAAAGCAATACCCTTTTTCTTAAGCGTGTCTAAAGGGCAATAAATGATTTAAGCGCCTCGTGGCGGAAAGAATCCTACTACTAATTTTTCAGTTTTATGATTTTTTTATACGTAGTTTTGTTTCAGCGTAATTTACGTTTAAAAAATTTTTTTCAATGCCATTTTTTACAGTTTAAATAATAACAGAAATAAATATTAAAAAAATATACACCGAAGAGCCATTACATTATGACCACCCTGCTAATAACATGAAGGACCACCTTTAGCCCTCACAACTGCTAGCACCCGCCGTGGCATGGATTCCACAAGATGCTTATTCTGAGGTATCTGGTACCAAGCACTCACCAACTAATCCTGCAATTCCCTCACATTGCGATGGGGTAGTGTGGCAGCACGAATTTGGTTTTCCAAGTAAGACCACAAGTGCTCTATTGGATTAAGGTCAGGTGAATTTGGGGGCCAAGACATGACTTGAAAGTCACTGGAATGTTCCTCGAACCAATCCATGACGATTCTACCCTTATGACATGGTGCATTATCCTGTTGGTAAACACCATCACCTGCAGGAAAATCTGTTGCCATGAATGGGTGAACCTGGTCTGTAACTATGTTCAAGTAACTTATAGAAGTCAGGGATTGTTCTATGAGGATTATGGGTCCTAATGTGCCCCATGAAAACATTGTTCCTGGGAGAGAAACCATGAAGACCTGGACGAGCCCATTGTTATAGATGGAATGTGGTCATAATGTAATGGCTCTTCGGTGTATAAGCAGTCAAATGTTCAGTATTAAATTAACTATTTAAGATGATAAACCAAACAATTTTATTTCTTCAATAGAAGAAAAAAAATAGAAGTTCTAAAGATTATTAAGGGCTATTTTTCTTTTTCTTGGAGAGCGACACCTCTTTTTCTATTTTCGAAAAGTGTTGAATGTTGCTATGCCATAAAAAGTTTGTTATTATGTTATTAGAAAGAAAGATATAAAAACAAAAATAAAAGATTTAACCTTAAAACCAAAATTTCAGTTTAAATTGAAATTATTAAGTAGTTATAGTATTTTTTTTAAAAAAAAGCATTTCAAAAATCATATAAAAATATTGTGCTCTGTAGCTCTTATGGTGTAGTATTATGCAGATTAGAGTACACGAAGTGCAAAAGATTAAAACTATGGAACTTCTCACTCACTCAAACCCTGTACGTACATTAAAAGTTTCAACCCTGGAAAGATTTTGCACCTTCACGTAGGATTCTGAGCATCCATGTACAGTGCGCAAAAAAATTTAATTGATCCACACTGACTTACTTTTGATATAATGATCGACTTTTTACCTTATAGGACTCGATCTTAATGGTTCAAGGAGGTGACCTCAAATATGCTATTTAATTAGTGCAGATGATATTTTAAGTTACGAAATAAGACACAAAATCAGAGTTCAAATTGTTTCACCACAGTTCGAGATTTTCTTAAGCGAATTGAAATATTTTTATGCATAATTATAAAATTATTATTTATTAATTATAAATTATTATTAATTATAATTACGAGGGTTGTAAATTAAATAGTGGCAACTTAACCATGAAACTCACAGAAGGGCGGGCATGCGCAAATAAGATATGGGAGCGGTGAGGTGGCACTGTTGTCGATGTGTAGAGTGCAAAAAACAGTCCATCTGCTTAGAAGGGTAGTTGTTGTGTGGCGTTAAAGNTATTATTTATTATTAATTATAATTATTATTTATTATTAATTATAATTCTTATTTATTATTAATTATAATTCTTATTTATTATTAATTATATTTATTATTAATTATAATTCTTATTTATTATTAATTATACATCATTATTATTTATTATTTATTATAATTATTATTTATTATTAATTATAATTATTATTATTATTAATTACAATTATTATTATTATTTATTATTAATTATAATTATTATTTATTATTAATTATAAAATTATCCGAAGATAATCCAAAGCAAAAAATAACTTTTTAAGATACATTTATCATTTTTATTATTTCTTTTATAATAAGCAAAAAAAATTCTATTGTAAGGTATAAAATTTTTTTTTTACATTATTACAAATAATGTAAATTTACATTGCAAAATACGGCGAAATTGCTTGATTCGTTCTTGAGAAATTGAATTGAGGACATACCCTAAAACCATTTAGATTGATATCTAGAACGTGAAAATCTGATCATTAGATCTAAAGTTAATTAGGTTGGACCGTTTATTTTATTTTTTTTTTGCCCACAGTACTTTCGCGCAAGTACTGTGCTCTGTGTGGTGCTCAGAGCTTAAACGTCTGTGTAACTAAAAATTTCTGTAATATGGGGAGTACTCTCCAGGCTCTGCTTCAAAGAATGAAACTGAGAAATTCAGATAGCTGAAAAATAAAGGATGAATAATGAAAAAAAAAAAAATACTTACTTGATCATATTTAGTCAAACCTGTTTGGGCTTTGTCTAGCACAGGATCGCATAAATAGTATAACGAATATAATACTAATCCCGCTAAGTTGCTGAGAGAATGGAAAACAAATACTGGAATAATACTGAATAAAAGACACCTAGTAAAAATATTTATAATATTACTAAATTTAGTTTTAAAATATTATTTATTTACGCATTTAATGTAGTTGTTTATAAAGGCTTCGGAAAAATTTTTAAATAAATTTTAAAATTGAATAAACTGTAATAAATTAAATAACCTGTTTGTAAATATTAGCTCAAATTATTTGCATTGCTTATTCGAATTTTATAGTTGTTGAATTATTCATTTCGTAAACTGCGTTCACTAGTAGTGACTGAATTAAATGCCCACCGAGCCAAAAAAAAAAAAAAAAGCCGACCACCTTGAATAACTTATAATCAAATGATCGGATCTTCACATTCTTGGACTCAATCTTCATGGTTTGAGTAGCTGATGTAAAATATGCTAATCAATAAGAGAAGACGATATTTCAAGTTACGCAATCAAACACAAAAACGTACTTTCTCTGACTAAACATATCTTTTTTTTCGGTGGATTTAAATTTCTGATCCAAAAAATATAGTTGTAGCAGCAATCTGGAAAAGATGGTCACCATAGTTTGGTCAGGAGAACAATCTAAAGTTTGATTTCTCTTAATGTCCATTTTACTTTTTGTATATTTCTCCATATCTCGAGAACTTTTTAATCGAATTATTATTTTTTTTTATTTTTTTTTTTGCGCATACAACTATAAAATTTGCTTGTCCAAAGACAATGCTTTACAAAAAAAACACGTTTTAGTATGCAATTATTTTTTTCTATCATTATTTAGTAACAGTCGAAAAATTTTGAACTGCAAGTAGACAGTTTTTACATCACTTTAAAGAAGATAATATTACATGGCGAAATACAAAGTTTGAGTGAAATCAGTGGAGTTGAATCGAAATCTGAAAAATCGAATTTAAAATGTACGACTTTCTTTTATTCGATTCCTAATAAATATAATATATATATTATACCTATAATATTAATAAAACTATTACTGTGTTGCACATTGCACAAAAGATCAAAAGATTTTGTACTGTGAAAAGCAGTTAAATTATATAAAATTAGCAAAAATTTCTCTATAAAAAAGATACCTTTGTGCTTTTTTAACATCGTTTGTGCTTAATAGTCTTTGTACTTCCAATTGGGATGCACCGTAGCCTCCAAACCCATAAAGGAAACCTCGACAAAGGCAATTCCAAAATGTGTATCTCACCGTAAAATCAAGGCTGAAACTGTTGTATGGATTAATTACTATCTGAAAATATATACTAGTAAACTGCTAAAAAGAGTTGATAGAGTACTAAACATGTTTAAGGAGTATGTATGCGTTTATCGTAAATAGATAAATGGAATTTCTTAAATTTTCAAAGCAAATTACAGAGTACCATGTCGCGTAGATAGATTTGCATAGATAGTCACATAGATTTTGGCAGAGGCAATCTATGTTTCCTCTGAGTTTTTGTCCCGCTGTGCATTATAAAATTAAAACTGCCTTTTCCGCTTTTTTTTTTTTTATTATTAGGGAACCCTAAATGATCGTATTTCATTTAATGAAACTCCGGAATATTAAATAAAGTTCATTAGCAACGGTAAATATATTAACCACATTTACAACTATTTCCAATAGATTACTAATCAATACGAAAATAATTATTCTGAAAAATGAAATATTTTAATTTTTTTATTAATAATAATATTAAAATAACATTACTTGTCTGAAAATTGGATTCCCAGTGCTGTAGAGGCATCTAGTATAATTTTGAGATAGTTTTTTGTACATGCATAAGCTGAAAATGAATTCAGCAAGTTCTATTGTGGTTTTTTCGTTAAAATGGAAACGAGAAAGAACTGTTATAAACGTCTAAATAGTTATCAGAAAAACATATTTTTTTATTGTTTAATTTAGTTGTTTTTATTTTGAATTGAAAAAATTGATATGTAGCACCAAAGCAAAGTATCAAAGCAAAGCTATAAAGCAAAGTTTTATAGATGTATTGCAATGATTCTATATACTGTTATTGGAATAAGCATATTTTTGCGTTTGCTTTTTTTTCCACTGGCATTTTATTTAAATAATTTATTAGAACCAACTAAAAAGTAGCTTTGTACTGCAGAATTTTTCTTTTTCTTTTATTTTCTCTGCTCTGAAATTTCATCTACCACATTCAAGAAGAGTTGCGTAAATATATCTTAAAAAAAGCTTTCTAACTCTAAATTGCAATATCCAATAAGGTGCAAAGCGATTTTGTTTTAAGGTTTCTATTACCAGTTAGAAAGCTTTATTGCAGGGTAACTAAGCTACATCAAGTACTACAACAGAATAAAATATTTTAATAATTTAATCCTCAAAGTTAATGAGTTAAAATGAGAATCAATTAGTTATTCAGAATGAATATTTTTTCTGCTATGCCGAATTTATTTTTAGATTTTTTTGCTTGTATTGTTTGTAATTTAATTTTGATCGTAATTTATTTTTGACTTTTTTTGCTTTGCGGATTTTAATTATTTTGTAACTAAGTTTGAGCATTTTATATTGAACCTTTGATGTTCTAAACATAAATGAACTCACTTGAAAATTTGTAGTCTACCTCCACTCATCGCTCGATCATAAATATTAGATATTCCTCCGGCATCGCTTACGCCAGCAGAATAAAAGGCTATTACAAAAATAAACATGAGAACAGCTTGTAAGACGTCTGTCCATAAAACAGCTTTAAGACCTCCCTAAAATTAAATTTCCTTTTAAGGCGCGTTAAGAAAAGAAATAATACTATTACTCAAAACAGTATTACGTTGCTCAACACATCGTTAGATGTCTTTATTTTTTCAATAATGAAGCAAAAATTTTACTCTTTTTCACATTTAAATTTTTATCAGTTATGTATCATTGACAATTACATTTAAAGTATTTTAATCAAAAAATGCAATCATTCAACCACTTATAATTCTTTTTTGGCAATAATACTTACACAATAATAAGCACTGAAAATATTTTTGTAAGATCTGCAAATGGCATACGATATAGAAAACTAGTTGCCTAATTCGCATCACATGTGTTCTAAACCGTACCATCCTCAAAAGTATTGAGTATTTATAGTTAAGTGAATAAGTAGACCATGTGTAACTCATAACTAGACAGCGGATAATATGCAATTGCATACGTGCATATGCAATTGCATATTTTAGCACTTTTTGCCATTTGTGCATATAAATCCATAAAAAGGTATATTTACTCTTATAAATGCATATTTTCAGCATTTTATGGCTTTTCCTTCCTAAAACCATATCACTCTTCCTAAAACCATATCACTATTCTCTTTATGTTAGCATAAGGAACGCTTTGAATTTTGTTTTGTCTTTCTTTATCACCTGAAAGGGTCAGCTGGATTGATGTTACTGGGGGTGATTGCAATCACGTGAAAAAGATGTAGAAATGAAGTGTGTGTTGGGAAGGGGGGTACAAAGGGCCCACCCAAACAGACATTCGTCATAGAAACCTCAGAAAGGGATGGTCAGATATTCTATGAAGGGATGTCTTTTCCTGGAATAAATATTTGTCAATTTGTGTGGGAAAAATAAGGCTTCTGTGGTAGGTAGAAAATGACCTTCCTTTCCTGTGATTGATTAGTTAAAAGGTGGAGTGAATACATTTTCGGAGAGAGCTGCTATTCTAACATAATTCAATAGTCCATCCGATAGATAGATAGTTTCGACATCCATCAGTTGAATACGTAGTTAGTGAAGCTTCGAACGTGATTTTTTACTGCTGAATTTTATAATATGCCAAAAATTAAGTCGACTAAATGAAATTTAATGAAGACATGGATTTCGGACTATGGGAAGGACTTTACGACCGATGGGGAAATAATATTTTGTGTGATTTATCACATTTCCTGTGAAAAAAAGTGCCAAATCGATCAACATATAAAGACTAATGCTCACTCCGTGAAGAAAAAGCAGAATACAAAAGGATTTGTTCAAAGTTTATTAACTATTCCTGTTCAAGCAGCTAAAAAGGAAAGTGATTTTTCTAGTGATTTACGCAAAGCCTTAGTAAGCAGCAATATTCCTTTAAAAAAGTCAAATAATCCAAACTTAAGACAGTTTTTAAAAAAATATTGTACCAATCAGATCATTCCCGATGAATCGACTTTAAGAATGAACTACCTTCAACCGATATGTAACGAAGTACTGGATGATATTCGACGAGATATTGGAGATGTCTTATGTGGATTGAAGGCGATGAGACGACAGATAAGTGCGGTCGCTATATTGCTCATTTTATTTGTGGAAAAATGGATAATATTCCTACTCGACTACATCTTCTAGCAAGCAAAGCCCTTGAAAAAGTCAATCATTCAACCTTAGCAAGGTTTGTCAATGATTCTATCAGATTATTATTGCCTGATAGAAATGGTTCTGAAGATGTTTTGATTTTCGTTAGTGATGCCGCTCCGTATATGGTCAAATCTGCAGCAGCACTGGAAATTTTTTATCCCAGAATGCTTCATATTACATGTTTGGCTCACAGACTGGCTGAGACTGTTCGAGAAGTATTCTCCTCTGTGAATGATTTAATTTTTAGTATCAAGAAAGTTTTTCTCAAGGTACCTGTGCGCATAAGATTGTATAAAGAAATGTATCCTGATTTGCCCTTACCTCCACAGCCTGTAATAACTAGGTGGGGTACATGGATTGAAGCTGCACGATTTTATGCTAATAATTTTGATGCAATAAAGTCAGTTGTAGATGCAATTGACAGTTCCTGTGCTTCTTCAGTTTATGTCACAAAAGAATTACTACAGGATATCTCTTTGCAGAAGGACTTGGCCATAATTGACACTCACTTTTCTTTCTTAAGTGGAGCAATAACAAAGCTCGAAACATGAGGTCTTCCCCTGGCTGAGGCCATATCCGAAATTGAAAAAATTCAACAGTGCATCAATGCTCTTCCAGACTCAGTTGGGAAGAAAGTAAAAGAAAAATGGTGTTTCGTTCAAAACAAAAATTCGGGTTTTGCAGCAGTGAAGAAAATAAACGATTTTCTTAATGGAAACGGAACTGAACTTCCAGAGAAAGTAAAACCAATGAGTACGAAATTGTACAAGTTTTGTCCAATAACATCGGTTGACGTGGAGAGGTCATTTTCGGCTTTCAAAATGATCTTTGATGACCGACGACATCAATTCACCCTTGAAAATTTGGAAAAACACTTAGTTGTGTATTGCAACAAAAATTATTCAGTTTAATAAAATCTTTCCGGAAAATGCGATGATTTTTCTTCTCTCATTTATCATACTTCAGTTTTAGGCTTTTTCTTCAGAAATGTGTAGATTCAAGTAAAAAATATTTTGACTTTCTTCCTTTTAACAAAAAAATGTTTTAGCTGCGTTTGTTGGAAAAAGTAAGTAGTAGTATTTAAATAAGTTGAACTTTTAATTTCTATTTTAAATGCATATTTCTAGTTTCAAGAGCATATATTCAAGTTTTTTAGTGCATATTTGCATGCATATTTTGTTCGTTTTTTAGTGCATATAATCCGCTGTCTACTCATAACATTTGCTTAATAGCATAATAAGAAAGATAGTGATATAAAATATTTGAACTACTACTAGTAATAGTATTATAAGCCTATAAAATGTTAACGGGTATAAATGTTGCTTTTTAAGACTGTATATTTTTAGGATCTGTTGCCAACTTTCTTCTTGTTGGATTTTAGAAATAGGGAAATTAGCTCAATTGAAGCCTTTAACCATAACATATCAATTTATATCCAGCCAATAATTACTAGATCATTACTTGACTAACCAGGTGGATCATATGTTTTCTTTGCTGCGGTTAGGAAAATTAATTTACTCACAGAAATATTAAATTTACTTAAATGGTTCCGTCTCTTCCTGATTGATTCACGTATTGATTGAGGTTTACTACGATTACAAAGTCAGTATACTGAAAAGCTTTTGCATCAGAATAGTTAAATCTTTTTAAACACTATCCTCCATTTTAATAGCTTCATTATAAGCCTCATTTAGGAAATAAGAAATTTGGTAGTACACTGGAGAGCCAAAAAAACTGGTATAGGCATGAGTATGCAAATAAAGGGGTCTGGAGCCAATCAAAGTACAGCGCTGCGATCGGCAACGCGCATATAAGACAACGAGTGTCTAGCACAGTTCTTACCGTCAACCTGAATTGAATCTCACCGAGATTGAAAAAGATACGAAGAGATATGCCCTTAGCATACTGGAAAATAGACCTTCACGTTCTGATCAGGAGTTCGAGACCTTGCAAAGAGTTGCACTCAACATTTATGACGAGATTGCAGAATGTCGCCGACGAAAGTCCTATTCAATTCATTACCTCGAAAACCTGTACAAAGTGAAATTCTTAGCTAAAGAAATGCTGATTTTGAAGGACATAAGATACTCCCAAAGTATCCCACCTCCAGCCATTCAGATGATAGAGGAAGAGCCGGCCGCAGAGACTGAATCAACCATCGAAACTTCTGAACCAGAAATGACTCCAGTTCAAATTGAGACAGTACCAGAGCAGCCCGAGCCCTCACCTACACCTGATATTAGTGCTGAAAATTCCACAGAACAACCGGAAACTACTGATACTATCATGGAGACCCCAGAGAAGGAGATAGAGCCACAGAAAGAGGACAACACCGAGCCTCCAAAAAAGAAGCGGAAAAGGAAGAAGAAAAATCCTCCTACAGAAACCACAGAGAGTATGGACATGCCATCTACAAATAAAATCTCAGAACCTGTAGCCCCATCAACTGATGAGCCCGCAGAACAGAAACAGATGGAGAATCTACAAAAGAGCAGTAGAAATCATTCCTCATAAAAGGACTTCCATTAGATTCTAAGATTTCAGTCTTGGAAGAAGAACTCACAGCGAATGGTCATCGGCCAATCAGAGTAGAGCAGCTTAAGAAGAGGCGTGGCGAAGAATACAATCTCCTCCCCCTTTTTCTGATCCTACTTCCAGATAGCCCTGAGAATAGGGAATGCATCAACACCAAGGAGATTCTCTCTACTACTGTGCAGATAGAGCGATTTCGTGGAGGTCGCTATGAAGTGCAATGTTATCGTTGCCAAAAATTTGGACACACCCAAAAGAACTGTTCAGATGATCCTGCATGCATGAAGTGTGCGGTCGCTCACTTTTCATACGAATGCTCCAAACCCAGAAGTCTTCCTGCCACCTGCATTAACTGCAATGGAGCGCACCCGGCCTGTTATTCAGGCTGTGGTGCTAGGCCAAGGAGAAAGCCACCTCAGACGAAAACACAGCACAGGAGTGCTACCGATAAAGCCAATAGATTTCTGCAGATCTTCCGTGAGCTGCAAGAACTACTTCAGAATGAGGAGCTAGTTAAGCTTCTCAGATCTTTGCTTCCTGAGAACAAGTCATGGGGACTTTACCTCTGCCACCAAGCCACAACTACAGCCAAGCCACCATCAACTTTTTGATAAAGACATTACTCCAGGCGCCTACGGGCACTATTACAGATGAAGAAGTGGAGTGTCCGCTTCGCGGACAGATACTTCGAACTTAACTTCAGCCTAAGCCCTAAGCACAGTTCTTAAATCGGTTACTGCTACTACAATGCCAGGTTATACAGATTTAAATGAGTTTGAACGTGGTGTTATAGTCGGCGCACGGGAGATGGGACATAGCATCTCCGAGATAGCAATGAAATTTGGATTTTCACGTACGACCATTTCACGAGTATACCGTGAGTATCGGAAATCCAGTAAAACATCAAATCTACGACATCGCTGCGGTCGGAAAAAGATCATGCAAGAACGATATCCGAAGATATCCCCACACCCTCTTACTCCCACTGGTTTATGGACAGCCCTGCAGGATTCATGGTGTCAATTATCTCCAGCACTACTGCACACATTAATCGAATCCATGCCACGTCGTGTTGCGGCACTTCTGCGTGCTCGCGGGGGCCCTACACGATATTAGGCAGGCATACCAGTTTGCTTTTGCTCTTCAGTGTAATGGAAGTAAGTTTTGAAATAGTTCATAGCCTTTTTTAAGTTTTCGTGAAATGCAGTTTAAATAGCTTGAAACTCAACATGCTCCGCAGCTGAACTTGCTACTTTGCTCCTAAATCGTTCCTGTACTATTTAGGAATGCACACGAGGCAATCACTTAAACTAACTGTCATTCTAAACCTCAAACAATAATTAGCGAGTACAGAAACAAGTAGAACATAACAGAATGAGCTGCGCTTGGCACCTATATGATGCATTAAATAATTTTTACATTAGTGTAGTTCTGCTATATCCTTACACAGGATGTTCAAAAGTTACACTGAAAGCTTCTTAAACTTGAGCCGTTAAACTTGAATAAAAACTTGGCGCAAAAACACAGCCATTTGATTCTTATGCAGGGATCTCAATATGAAAAAAAAAATTTCTTAATTTATCCTCTAGAGCTTTCTCCACACAATACATCTTAGAAAATTAGACTTGGTACGAATCATGGAACTAGCTATTTATTAGTATTTTTCAATTCCTAAATAGCATGAAAAATTGCTTTTGAGAGAGATTTTTTAAGTTGCCCAATGTGGACACAATAGTCAAAATTCCTTTTAAGTACATTCATAAGATGGATAAAACAAAATTGATCCCTTATATTTTAATAATTTCTTACCATTGCACAATAAAATGTACAGACTCCGCCAATAACAAGAATGCACATATTTAGAGACAAGTCTGTTACTGCGCTGAGAGCTAGAGAAGGTCCATACAAACAAGGTGACAGGCCCATTATCTAATCAAAATAAAGTATTTTTAATATAGTAAATATACAGTTTCTGGAAAACATTGGTTATATTTCAACTTACCACTTGCATGAAAAACACAGCTGACAATGCATAACGAGTATATTTTCCAAATCGTATTTCTAAAAACTGGAGAAATAATTTAAAAAATATTCAAAAAGGATGGAATGATTTAAATTAGAGTGTAAAACTGAAATTTATAATTCTCTTATGCAAAATCTAAAGAAAGAAGGATCTTCGATTTTTTCAAAATGATAACATAAGCAAAAATGCTGTAAATTTAGGATTTAAAATTTATTTAATCAAAGCTATTAATGAAGTAAAAAAAAATCTTATGTGCGACGAAAATTATAGTATTCATACATATTTTTGTTCTGTAAGCACGTGAATATCAAAAACTCAATTTACAGTTCACGATTGCAATTCTCATTGACATACATTCGATACAAAGAAAGTTCGCTCTTTAATAATCTTTTCAATTGAAAGTTCGTTCTTTTATCAATTAAAAAGTCAATAATACTATAATAATCTTTAAAAAAATCAGAAATTTCTGGATCCTAAATTTTTACATTTGAATTATTCCTTTTTTACTGTTTGACTATAGGAGAACTATAGTTGAACTACATCACTATAGACTAATCAAACAGATTGCTTATCTTTCAAATAACAATATGTCATCTTAACTTTTCATTATTAAATGCTAGTTTTTTTAAATAACTAACTACTACAGGATAGTCATATACATTATTTAAATTCCCACAGCAATACTTTCAAGAGCATTTTCCATCGAATAAAATTTAACATAATCCATAAAATAATTTAATTCTTTCATAAATTTTATTTTTACAAAAAAGATTTTTAATTTAAAAATGGGATATTTATGGATTAACTGACAAGAAGTTATATTCACCGCAAAGAAGAGAGAATTAGATAATAATCGAAATAATTGGATTAGAATTAGATTAGAATAATTGGATAGAGAATAAGAAATAATTGAAGTAATTGGACAACATTTAGAGAAAGCGTGTTTTGTGTCAGATTTCTTAACATAAAAAATCATTTGCACTAATTAATTAGCATATTTAAGATAAGATCCTCGAATTATTATTGAGTTCTAGAATGTGAAAGCCCGTTCATTAGATGAAAAGTTATTCGGGATGTTGTTTGTCTTGCGCAATTTATATTAGAAAATACCTAATAAATTTAAACATTGATAGACTGCCTTTTTTCTAAAAATAGAACTTTTCTTATTATTGCCATATACAAATTCAGCCATCAGTGTGTACAACTAACTATTTGTTCTCTATGATATATATCCTTAATTTTCTATTCGATAATAACCACGACTTTGAAGTAACACTTTTAATGGAGAAGAAAGAAACAAATAATGCATAAGTGTGGTCAGTACCTCGTAAACTGTAGTCACTCCACATTGAAAATAAACTGGAATGAAGACATATACAGCAAGATACATTCCTATTGCTGTTGCGAATGGCTGCACTAATGATTGTATTCCATACCTGTAAACTTCTGCTGGAATTCCCAGCATTGTGCCGGTACCTGTAAGTGTAGCCGTGGTGGACAGTATGACTGGGAATATGGGCATATTCCGTCCCGCCAACAAATATTCTTTCATAGTTCGTTGTTTTCCACTAGAGAATCGAAAAATCAAGCCAATCCCCGCTGATATCAAAAGAAAAAGTAAAATGACCAAATAATCGACGATTCCTAGTGTATATCGTGTACTCATGGTTATAGCTTTGAAAACTTTCCAATGTCAAAAGTTATATTACCTGTAAAAGAATATATTATTGGTAGCAATTAGAATTTTAAGTTCTTACGTTTGCAGTCGCCGTTTTATACTTTCGAACTTTCTTGTTAGAATGTAAATAGTTCTAAATTTTTAATTCCCGAGTCTTATGAAAATATTATAAAGCTTTTTTTTAATGAAAACGCAGAATGAGTATTATCATAAAAAGAGATCTCTTAAAAATTTAATTTAAAAAATTTAATTTAAAAAATTTGCATCATAGAACCTATATTTTTGGTGAATAGCAATATCATTCCTTAAAATGACAATTTGTATTAGAGTTTTAAAAAAAATTCTAAACTTTAATGAATGTGTTTAGTTTTTTTTTTTTTTCATGGAAAAGATTAAAATTGTGATAATAAAATGAACACTCAAAACTTTTATTATACTTTCATATATTATATTGAAATATTTTCAGGTCATTGATAATCTCTATGAGTTCATTAATATTATTCATTGATGTTCTCTATTCTTTCAAATAGTTCTGTATATTTTACATTTGAATTGGCACTCAAAAACAATTTCATTAGTAAAATAATTTATAAAATTAAAAATGAATTCTAAAAGTTTTAATGTTACTTGAGTACTTTAGAAGTTAGAGCCATAAATTTTTACCGAGTAATATATATATATATATATATATAAAAATG